TAAACTGAGGTTGTTACTCCTCTTTCCCCACCCTAACACATAAAACAATGAAGAGAGGAAGAGCAGGGTGTGTAGAGGGCAGAGAGTCAATAAGAGTCAATAAACATTTATTAAGCACCTACTCAATGCCAGGCCCTGTGCTAAGCCAGAGAAGCAAGAGGATGTCTCTCTTACCTAAACACTAGAAATAATTTAGATAGAAGAAAATCAAGACCTTCCCCCATTCTGCCCAGTAAAACTAAAAATCGTGCACAGTCTATCTAAAACAGGTTTTATTTAATTTGCTATCTGAAAGAAGTTGTTTGGGATAATTTCCTTTCTGTCCCCTGTGCTGTTATTTTCTTTAATGTACATAACATTCTGGAGTCTTTCACTAGCTATGATCTCTTTCCAGTTCTTGAGGTACAATGAGGGTATATTAGGGTTGACAACAAAATAGGGAAAATTAGACCTAGATTTTCCTCCAATTCCCTTCTTCAGGAAGCTTTTCCCTTATGTGCTTACTCCCCCCTCTCCCCATAGCCTCCCACCCACCCAACTGCTAGTGCCATCTCTCTGACACGATCCTTTATCTACTTTGTATACATGTGTCTATTTATTTACATGTTCATTTCTCCCACTGGATTGCTAGCTTCTTGAGGATGGAGACTTTTTTTTTTTGGCCTTACTTTATATTCCCAGACCTTAGTACGTAGCACTTAATAAATGTTTGTGTTGTATTCTACAAGTTTTTCCTTGAGTTAAGAAAAGGAGAATTCCCTACTTGCCACAAACATGTCTTTATGAGGTATAATATATATTCTTCTTGGGAGCTTCTGTAGATATTTTTGACAAATACAGTTAATAACATTGCAACCATACTTTTAGGATGAGTTCTTCTCCCTTAACAATAAAAAATGAATGACCAAAAAAGCACTTTGAAATACAATAAGAATATTAGTCAACTAATATAAATCTGGCAATGTTTGCCAATGACCTTTGTAAATATATTGTCCCTTCCATGGAACAAATAGAGAAAGGGTTAATTGTTTAAGTATAAAAGGTTATTTTTTTTTTGTCAGGGAAAAAAAATCTTTTTTTAATCTCTAATTGTAAGTCTGCTAACACCCCGGTGTACAATCTGTCAAAGTCACACCTGGATTCAGAGCTGACTGAATTAATTAACAACTTTTCTATGTGTTAGTGCTAACATATGGCATTTAATTACTGCCTCCAAATCTGTGAGTCTCTCTACTTTGAATTTCAAAATTATTTCTTCATCTTTCAGTGAATCAGAAAGTCACTAGTTGGAAATGTCCTGTGATTCCTCCCCCTTTTTAATGGAGTCTTTGTAGGTCTCCTTCCTGAGTTGATAATATTTAGTTATCTTTACTACAGCTGGCTGTGAACTTCAAGCAGGGACAGTAGGGATTTTGGAGACCTCAAGACAAGAGATAGTGGGCTTAAATGGCATTTCTGGAACCTATGCCTTAAGAGCCCCAGACAAGTTGTGAGGTTGGTGGGTTAAAGCAGGATGGATTTGTGTTCTGTCTATAGAGTTAAGGGAAGAAATACACATACACACACACGCGCGCACACACACACAGAGACAAGAGTGTGTGCTCATATCTATATCTATTATCTGTTCTTTCTCCTCTCTTTTCTCTCTCTCTCTCTCTCTGTCTCTCTGTCTCTCTCTCTGGTCCTCTCTCTCTCCCCTTCTCTCCCCACCCCCACCTTCCTTCCTTTCCCATCTCTTATTTCAGCAGGGGGCTTGGCATTCCACTTAGCACCGTTGAGAGTCAGTTAATATAACAAAGAGAAGACATCCACACCACAACACACAAACTGATTTTGTTTTCATAAGATGTGCCCTTATTTTTTTCACTTATACCTAGACCTGAAGCCTAGTCCCATCAACATTTCCAAATTAACAAAACTTTTTTATCTTTTAAAATGGATGTTAGCAGAAAGAGAGATTGGAAAAAACGAGGCCCTCACATGGCACAAAATTTTTCTTCCCCAGCTAATGTTCTAATTCACTGAAGCTACAGCACCTTCATTTAGCATTTTTGGATTGAAATGGAAAATTGTGCAAAGGGGAAAAAAAAGCTCCATAGGTCTTAAACTCTATCCAAACAAGCACTCTCAAACCTGGATATTGATATGATATTTATCTGCTTCTGAAAGGAGCAAAAAAGTCAGGAAGAATGGCTTTTACTATATATTAACTAGTATTTTACTGATTGTCACTTGAAGGGGAATTTGTTTGATACATGGAATCACAGAAGCAAGTGGGGAAAAGATGAAACAAAGAAATCTGTAACATTTCATAAATCTTATAGGGGCCCAAGCTTAATTCAAAGTCAGTTCGAAGCAGAGGCCCTACACAGAGCTGTGAACATTTTGGAAACCTATTTAACAGAAAGAATGTGAGCTGTAGGGTGCAAAACTTTTAAGTCAACATTGCTAGGACAAACAGAGGTTCAGTTTCTGTTGGAGTGTATAGATGGATGAAGGCTCAAGGGGTAATTATTGTTCTTTATTTCATTTGTCCATCACTAATTAATCTGTGATTAGGAGTGCTCTTGTTCTGTGCAAATACTGGGTTTCAGGAATCTAAGCATGTTGATAATGAAGACAGGCAATGTCTTACTGTGATGAGTCTTTTGTACCATTCGTAAATGTCAGCAAACTCAATAACACTGCAATTAGAGCTTGTTATATTTCTTTCACAACTATAGGAGTTATTTAAAGCATCTGATCCAAAGAAATCCTTGTGCTCTTTGAGATTTCTAAAACTATGCTTACCTGTCAAAAGCACCTTGTAAAGGCTGGAGGTGGGGGATGAGGGAGGGGTCAGCTTTTTATCACAAGCTTTAGGAAATTATATCTTTTTGTTGGTTCCTCAATAACTTTAAAGAAAGAAGTGAAACCCACCCATGTCAATGCAACATGGGATGCTTCTGATCCTTCTACTTTTGAAAGGCTGCTGAAATGAAGAGCTGTCATCCTTTAAAAGCAACCTTCAGCTTAGTCACATTCTTCAGCTCTCTAGAATGTCAACCTGAAAACCAAACTTGGGCCTACATGTTCAAAGGCAGAACTGGTTCAACCAAAAGTTTTGGTGCCTACGAATATTATACATGCAAATCTCTATCATGACTTGAGGAGGAAAAATCTAGAAAGACGAGTCTCTGGAGAATGCCCATTCATTCATTCATTCATTTATTTACCTACTTTGCACAAGTTACTGTGCTTACCTGTCAAAAACACCTCAAAATAAGAGAAGTATAGTATGATGATTAGAACAATGAAATAGTTTATGTTTCTTTCTGCTTTGGTTTTTGTAAAGCCAACCTAAAAAAAATGCCCTTTCTGGAGCTCATATCAAATAGAGAAAACTAAATACAACTCCTCTCATGCCTCTCTCACTTTTGCCCTACCAATACTATCCTCTAATTTAGGCTTCATCTACCGTGAGCAAAGTGAAATGAAAAATTCAGAAACAGGAGCAAAAATCCCATATTGGCCTCAATTACATAAATGTGGTCTGATCATTCTTGATAATTACTTTAATTCTACAGGCTACCATTCTATAGGTTCTCTAGCCCAAACTCCAATTTTACACCAAAGAAAACTGAGGCCCAGAGAAGTTAAGTTATTTGCCCAAGTTCTCAAGGGGTAGCAAGTGGTAGAACCAGGATTTAAACCAAAGTCTTTGGACTCTAAAGACCACAGGGTGTAACTGCACTGAGCTGAACTATTTCCTTAACACAAAGTTCTTATCTCTTTTAATGAGAGAAATGTATATTCTGAGAAACAAAAAACGTTCCAGAGTTATACAGTTTGGATATTAAAGAGTTTTCTGGACAATTGGCCCAATGTCCAACTTATGTATTAATGATGGGGCCAGAGGCATATCTAACTAATGGGTAGAGGTGCTGTCAGGACAGGTAGGAGGGAGTCGGACTGCAAAGGAGAACAGGAACAATGGGCAAGATCTCCAACAAAAAGCCAGACTATTGTCTATTCCAGAAAAATTTGGCAAGTTCTTATTTTCTTCAAAACTTTATAGTCTGTGGAGAAGCCAGAAAATGGGATGCACTACAATTAGCAAAAAAAATACCTTGTGGAGAGATTTAGAGCCCAATCATAATTTACATTTGCAGATATGTAGATCTCTAAGTGCATGGCTTCTGCCCTGATTACTAATTAATGAGGTGCAAAAATGCCTGTTGGAAGGAAACAGTGCTGATTATTATGGCGGCCTTGTGGGACTGAGAAGCTCTGTGGTCTAAAAAGGTAGAAGATTCCTCTAACATATATTTCAGCACATTCAAAAAAAATTAAAATAAGGACAAAGCTTTGCTAAAACAGAAGTAAAAACACCAAACAGGGAAGCGCAGCCATCAGCTCTCCCAGCTCCAGAAGGGACAAATTGCAATGATTTCATGGACCCTGTCAATTGCATATTTTATGTTTAGTATAAGTTTATTTAATCAGTAATCTGAATCCTGAATGAACTCTGATGCAAATATATTTAGCTCGTTTTGGTATGATTTAGGCCACCTGCATTTTAAAAAAATACTCAAACCAAGGAATAAATGAAAAGGGGAAAAAAATTCAGTTTAACTCTTAATGGGTAATCCCACGCCTTCGTGCTTTTTCTTTTCAGAGTAACAAGTGTTCTTGCTTCTTTCTCTGCACCTACACTAAAGGAAAAGAGCAACAAAAGTGAAATGCCAATGGGCCATGACCCAGGGCAAGCCCCAAATGGAGAGAGACAGAAAACTATTTCTTGTAACACCTTCCACACATCTTTACAAGAGAGATAAATGGGACAGCAGATCCTGTCATCATTTCTTCAGGTCTGACAGCCACAGAACTATTTTCTGAAATAGTTCTCAGCTTTTTACACAGAAAAGGATACTTGGAACTGGCTTCATCCTACTCACCCTCACTTTTTAATTTAAAGACACAGGCATTATGATTAAATGAGACAAGCAATCACCACTTACCATTTGACTTTTCACTATCTGCAGGTTTCATCTGAATGGGATGATGCATCTAAAAATACAAATGAAAGAAAGTAAGGGTAGGTTGGACAATTGAAAAAAATAGTCATCTGATACCACTAAGTTTGAATAGCATTGAAGTTATGAGCATGCATGATCAATATTTAATGTCCTAGAAGTAAAAAAAAAGCTACAAAGTTAAAATAATGCCCCAATAACCATTTAAAAATGCAAGCCAAACATTAGCATAGTATTTTATAGCCATGAATTGAATTCTCTTAATTCACTGGGCCCCAAAGACTAGTATGAATCTGAATGTAATTTGTTTTGCCTCTAACTATCCTAATTGTCCACTGCATGCATTTTTCTTTTCTCTATGATCATAGTTATTTGGGTGAGCAATCTGAGGGATCAGATTGACAAATTCATATACTGTCATTTAAACTTCCTTTTTTTTTAAAAAAAAAAAAAAGAGGCCAAATATAGAACAGAATGCAAACAACTGGGGCCAGGAAATGAACCCACAGTCATACCAAATCTGTATTTAGGGACAGGAGGGAAATATGTGAATTTTCCATGGTAGAAGTGTGGAATTTTCTGTCATTTCCCGCATAGCACTTTGGGCTCAATTCGTTAGCAAACTGAATCACACCACTGTGCATTTACTCCAAATACAGAATGCTACCTCTATCCCCAATTAAAATAAATTCCTCAGACTACTTGCAGAAGCCCTTCTGTATCATTTTTCACTGTACCCCAAGGAACATACAGGCTACAGGGTAGATGGAGTCACTGGCTGTGCTAACTGCTTTGATTGTAATGGGTCCCATTCTCTTTGAACCTTTAATTTCCCCAGTGGACTCCCATCACTTGCATGCCACATCTCTGGGTTTTATCTAATTTAAATGAAAGGGGAATGGTACTTGGCTCAGGCATTTAAATGATGTGAAATTATTATCAGTCTGTCCAGGCCATGTGTGCCTAATGCCTATTTGAGGTCTTGAAAGCACACAAGGGAGAGAAAAGAGTGGATGCTCTCATAGGGTGTCCCGTATTCTAAAAGGTGGTATGCTCTTAGGTTCTAAAGAAAGACATCGTGGTGAAAGGTCTAAGTAATATTCTCCATTCATTCATTTGTTCAACAAACATTTGAGTGCACATTAAATGTGTACCACTGTCCCATATACAAAGAAGTATATATACACATAAACATATATGTATGTATACATATGTATGTATTATATATGTATATACACATATATTATTGTCATTCAGTCATTTTTTTCAGCCGTGCCCAGCACTTTGTGACCCCGTTTGAAGTTTTCTTGGCCAAGATACTGGAGTGCTTTGCCATTTCCTTCTCCTCATTTTACAGATGAGGAAACTGAGGCCAACAGGGTCAAGTGACTTGCCCAGGGTCACACAGCCAGTAAGTGTCTGAGGCCAGATTTGAACTTAGGAAGATGAGCCACCTGACTCCAGGCTGGGCCCTCTATCCACTGCTTCACCTAATGCCCCCAACATATACACATATATGTATATATACAAACATTATGTATTATATACATTAGACATTACATATGCCCTATATATAACATAATATATAATATAAATACATAATACAAAGATGTACTTTCTGTTCTCAAGTAACCCACAAACTATTTTAGGAAACAAGACACAAAAATGAAAGTTAACCAGTAATACAATGTAAGAAGCAACACAGCAGTGCCTAGTTAAGTACCAAATAAGTGGACCATCAATAATTTATGCATTGTAACATTTCTAATCTTACACAGAGCACAAATTTCAAGCAAGATTTTAAAAACTGGTCAGCATTTCCAATATTCTTTATTTCTACAAAATCTCATATTCCCACCCCCACATTTTTTTCTTTTAGTATTTATTAAAGGAGGACAGGAGTTCTGAGGAAGCAGAGATAATTGTAGCTCTCCCTAAGTGCAAACAAAACAAAAAACAAAAATCCCTAAGAGCTCCTGTCCTCAGGAAACTTCACATTCTATTGGTGAGATTTTGTTGTTTTGGTTTTTTTTAGGATCTATGATTTCATTGTCTTCGGGAACTCCTGGTGAGGAATGTGCCTTAATTTACGAAGACTGGAAACTATTCCACAGTTTACTCTTAACAGAGTGTGTATAAAAAGCACGATTTGGCCCTAAGTTGTCCGGACTCTGAGGCCAGCTCTGGACATACAACATACTAAAGAAAATACATTCTGAAAGGCAGAGAGTAGCAGGGAGGGCTCTTAGAGGGTGGGTTGGGCAAATGTATGCAGACAGAAGACATGGACCCAAGTCCTGAGAACAGCACATAGCTCAATTAGGCTGTAATACAGAGTGTATTAACCAGGCAGAGCAGCAACATAGGCAGCTCTGGGCCTTGGGAAGATTCTTTTTTAGCAGTTGTATGCTGGATAGACTGGAGAAAGGAAAAAGTACATGTAAGGAAACTAATGAAAGGTTATGGCAATATCCTAGGCCAGAGGGATAGCCCTCAATACTCCTTAGTACTCCTGGAACCAGATTAAAATGTAACTGGGGAATATTAAACTAAATAAATAAAAATTATAAAATATAGATTATATAACACTTTTAAATTAAGCTAATATGTGGCCCATAGGGATAATTATGTATAGTGTAGTGCAGGGGTGGGGAAAAGGTGGCCCTCTAGGTCCTCAAGTGCAGTCCTTGGACAAAATCACAGGTTCCTCACCCCTGGTTTAGTGGTTCTCAGTTTCTATGAGTTCAACACTATTTGTCTAGGCTACAGGAAGCTGAGGGCTTGATTCAGGGGTAAAAAGGGTTCAAGGATGAACTGGATTCTACTTGTTTTGTGGGTCCCAGAAGACAGAACATGAAACAAAGTGTGGAAAAGGCAAAGAAACAAATTTAGGGCTTTTTTTTTTTTTTGTCAGGAAAAACTGCCTTAGAGTAAGGACTAACCATAAGTTCATAGGTGGGCAGGTAGGTGGCCTGGTGGATAGAGAGCTGGCCTGAAGTCAGGAAGACCTGAGTTCAAATCTGACCACAGACATGAGCTGTGTGATCCTGGGCAAGTCACTTAATCCTGTTTGCCTCAGTTTCCTCATCTGTAAAATGAGCTGGAGACAGAAATAGCAAACCATTTCAGTATCTCTACCAAGAAAACTCTAAATGGGATCACGAAGAATCAGTCACGACTGAAACACAACAACAATCCATAAGTGGAATATGATGATGCAAATGTAGCTATTGCCACATATTCTCCAACATTATACACACAGAGATCTGAGTATTTGGACTAGCTGAGACTTTACAGGATGGGTGACAACCCTACTTCAGACAAATTATGCAGATGATTTAGAGAACATCTGTGAAACACTGTGACCCCCTTGAGAAAAGGTGCTCCATAAATACTATTCTAAGTGAATCATCATTCACTTGTTACAGACTTTTAATCGCATACAGGGTGTAAAATGTCAAGTAAGATTAAAATAGCATAGGGCAGGGGTTCTTATCATCTCATTTTCACTTCTACAAAATCTCATGACCCTCAATATTTGGAGATATGTGTCAGGGTAGGAGATGGGGATGTTTATACTTAGGTGAAAGAACTCTGGTTTAAAATTCCCAGCAACAATAAAAGGTCATAGGTCATAGAATTAGAAATGGAAGGGCCCTTAGTGAACATTTAATCCAACTCCTTCATGTTATAGATTAAGAATCTGCAGTCTAGAAAGATTTGTTCAAGGTTGTGCAGATCAAGTAATGGAGGCAGAATGTATTTTGACCCCCAATACTGTACTTTTTCCATGACCACCATCATCCGCCCTCCACAGGGCATGTCTTAGAAGAAATGCCTAGGTATGAATCAATGTCCCTCTGAAACCAATATGGAATAATGATAACGATCTTTGGCTGAAGTTCCACCCCAAGGAAAGGGATGGAAAATGATGTAAGGGGATTTCTTTTTAGGAAAAAAACAAGGAATAAATAAAACTTGAGAGATATTTTTATGGATAGGTGAGTTTCACACCGGCAGTAAAGTAGGACCAAGATCACTAAAATACCAGCTTGAGTTTTAACCTAACCTTTCCCATGGAACTTCCAGAATCCTAGGGAAGTGGCAATGGTAGCAATGGGCCATACCTACTGCCTTCCATGAGCCAGGAAGTACAATGATAGAACAACCACTGCCTTCCAATATGGCTTCCAGCATAGCAATGATATCCTTCTTCACTTCTGTCTCAGGATTTGGAAGGAAGTGGATGACTAGGGGTATTTCCAGTTATCCAAGATGGGGCACAAGAGGAGGAAAAGGGCATTGTTTTTGTTTGTTTGTTTGTTTGGTTTTGGATTTTTTTGGCTAGGCAATGGGGTTAAGTGACTTGCCCAGAGTCATACAGCTGGTAAGTGTCAAGTGTCTGGTCTGAGATTGGATTTGAACTGAGGTCTTCCTGACTCCAGGGCTGGTGCTCTATCCACTGCACCACCTTGCTGCCGCAAGGGCATTGTTTAAAAGGGAAGAATATAGCTCAGGAAACAGTGGCCATTGTCTCCCTAAAGCTCCAGAAATTGAGGTGGGGAAAAACTAAACCACAACAAAGCTCATTCCTAGGTCTTATTAATATAGTTGAATACTTATAAAACCCATTGTAAAAATCTTGGAGAAATAATCTTTACTTTATCCTGGAGGATGGAGGTGGTGGAGAGTTATTACTTTATTCCTCCATAAACTTATGAGAATTATAATAACTATAATAACTAGCATTTTTATAATACTTTAAAATTTATAAAGCATTTTACTAATATCTTATTTTATCCCCACAGCAACCCTGGGAGATGGGGATGTGTGTCAATTATTATCCCCATTTTATAGATAAGGCAACTGAGACAGGCAGTGGTTAAGTGACTTGCCTAGGATCAAAAAGCTAGGAAGTATCTGAGGACAAATTTGAACTCAGGTCTTCTTGGCTGCAGGTCCAGCACTCTGGCCACTGTACCACAGAGCACCAATGTTATAAGACTGCCGTCTCCTGGATTAGAAGAAAACCTA